CAGGTACCAATGTGACTTTTCCGAGTCATATGTACTTTCTAAGATTATTTAGACACCACTGACAAACGGTGAAGGAAAACATCGTGAGGAAACCTGGACTTATAATTTCTAATTATAAGTTTCTAATTATAAGTCTGTAATCGCCAACACGCATTGAGCAAGCGTGGTGATTAATGCTCAAACCTTCTCCGTGTGAGAAGAGGCTTTGCTCAGCAGTGGGCATTTATAGGCTGTTGACGATGATGAAATCGTGCGAGTGTCGTCAAGGCGTCTTCCAGGGTGACCTAAAGGTATTTTAAATTAAAAACTAGGTCGTGACATAGATCGTAAAAAGAAGTGTGCATTTCTGTTATTGTTAAGGAGATACAGGAAAAAGAAACAAAGAAGATTTTGGGAAGATAAGATTTTGATGCGCGATGCGAATCAATTCGCAAGTTCTTGCGATGCGTAGAGGGAGCTCGCACATTTTTGCGATGCGACGTCGCATCGCAGTTTTGTGTACGAGCCCTGAATCAATATTGATTGGTTTCCAAACACGTTGTGAAATTATGCGTCTTACTTTTTTATATAAATGCGTTGGTAATGACAGTCAGAAGTACAGCCAAACTGCATGCGCATAGATTAAAAATTACGCAGCTAATATAATGTTTTGTATGTACTTAATAAATATGTGTCGTGGTGGCCCGGAGGTTTAAGAGGCCCGCTTCTTATGCATGAGGGGCGGGTTCGAAACCTACTAACGGCAAGTACCAATGTGACTTTTTCCGAGTTATATGTACTTTCTAAGATTATCTAGACACCACTGACAAACGGTGAAGGAAAACATCGTAAGGAAACCTGGACTTATAATTTCTAATAATTATAAGTCTGTAATCGCTAAGGGGGCGTCCATAAATTACGTGAGGTGTTTTTTTTAATTGTCTATCACCCCCTCCCCCCTTGGTGAGATTTCGTGAGAGTTTATTCAACACCCTCCCCCACCCCCCAATCTCACGTGGTTTTTTTAAAATGTTGGCTTTTCACGTAAACGCGTTGGATTGTTATTGCAAAAAGAAAAAAATCCATGTGCATGTACATACAATTGAATCTTAAGCATGTACAATCTGGAATAAATGAACTAAACAAGAGTATTTTTTTTTGTTTCTATCAGAAAAAAAATTGCGTGATATTTGCCGAGACGTACGTTGGAGAGGGGGGGGCCCTCTCCAACGTAAAATTAGATGAGATTTGAGTCTACCCCTCCCCCCCTTAAACATCTCACGTAATTTATGGACGCCCCCTAACCCGCATTGAGCGAGTGGTGATTAATGCTCAAACCTTCTCCGTATTAGAAGAGGCTTTGCTGAGCAGTGGCCATTTATAGGCTGTTGATGAAATGAATTGATGAACAGCTCCACTAAGCTTGACACTGCACTGCCCCGCGCTACACAGCGGTTTATACATTTTAATGTGAACAAATTTTCTCAACTTCGGTAATACTGTTTTCACTGAATTAGAGCAGAGATGATGAATGAGCAGAATGTGATCGGTCAATGTTTATAATTCTCTCCTCAGCTTAATAATGATAGTAAAATGTCTTGGATACGATATTCAAGTTTTCATAGAATTCGTTTATAGAGTTTCTTGTTTCTCTTCTCCATGGGAATGTACAGTTTCGAACGAGCAAATAGGTTAACTAGAGGACTGACTGAATGACTGACACTTTGTTATTTAGTTTGACATTCAAAAGTGCATTATATTGGTCTAATTGAAAGTGAAAGTACCTGGACGACCGAACTTGGCACGGTGTTTTTATTTAGAAAAAAGAAAAACATAGATAAACAGAAAAAAACAAAAGAAACATTCAAACTGAGGTTTAAACTCGAACTGTCCTGTGTAGAAGGCGTCGGCTTTTGGTACTCCCATAACACCACGCCTATTATCCCCGAAGGGGTAGGCAGAGGTGCACACAGAAGTAACACCCACTTTCCACTATTTATGTTCTGAGTACCACGTAATAGGGGGTGAGCCTATTGCCATATACCGGACAGAATTCCAGACTCCGTGTTACTACTGAGATTTTTAAAAAACCCAGTAATACTTTGCCCGACCTGGGAATCGAACGTTACAAGTGCGTTGCCGTTCTTTTGAAGGTTAGGAATTTGAGAATTAGGGTGTTGCATTTAGGTCTCTTTGCCTTACTTCTTGTTAAGTTTTGATTCATCTAATTAACGAATAATAGGGTAGATGACTAATTTTTATTTCAATGTCCGTTTGGTAGATTATTTAAAAACATTGGACACGTATCTTTTATTTTTTTACAGAAACGAATCGTTTCGACGATATTATATTGATTTGAAATATCGCATGACGTCACTTTTAAGTACGATTTATACTCTAAAATAACGTAGCTACCTTCCACTCCTAAACTTTGATTCGTTTTATCTAAGTATTGTTTTATTATACGACAAAATAAAAAATACGTGTCTAATATTGTTTCATTACCTAACTGACGGACTAATTAGTTTTTTATACCCTGTCATCATTCCTATTTGACTCATCTTATACTACCTACTATATAAAGCGGAAGAGTTTGTTTTTTGTTTGTTTGTTTGAATGCGCTAATCTCCGTAACTACAAGTCTGATTTCAATAAATCTTTTTGTGTTGGATAGCGCATTAATCGAGGATGGCTATAGGCTATAAGACATCAAGCTACAACCAATAGGGGATGAGCAGAGCGTGTGAAACCACGCGGAAGTAGCTAGTCTTAGATGATAATCGAATCGATAGAGAAAGTATAAGTAGGTATGTTTTAAATTCCTAAAATAAAGGAATCTGTATAATTATGCTTGGTATTTAACAATAGGTTAATACTAACTATAATACTGCTAATAAAATAAACATAACATGTGAAATATGTTTAGAAAAAGACTATTAAATATTATTATGTAGTACTGCCTCGATGGCCAAGTGGTCGCAAGCGAGACTGCAGGGGTCTCGGGTTGGACTTCCGGGCCGGACAAAGTATTAATGGGTTTTTAAAAAAAATATCAATAGTAGCACGGAGTCTGGAGCAATTATGCCCGATATATGGCAATACACTCACCCCCTATTACATGGGACTCATAAAATAAATACTAAAAAGTGGGTGTTACTTCTGTTTGCACCTCTGCCTACCCCTTCGGGGATAAAAGGCGTGATGTTAAGTTTTGTTGTTATTTTTATGCAGTACTGTTTTCATCTTTATGACGACACATGGAGAGGCGTGCCAAGAGGCTCATCAACGATGATGCGCTTGTGGAGGCCCGGCTTCAAAGCCTCGAACACAGGTTGCAAGCCTTTCGGTTTTCTACCGGATACATTTCGGTGAGTGTGCGGGGGAATTGCACAACTTGATTCCCCCTAGTCCTTTCCATCATCGTACCACAAGACAATCGGCGAAGCGTCACCGATTCGTGGTAGATGTCCCACCCACACGCACGAAGCGCTTCGTATCAAGCTTCCTTGTACGTACTGCTAAGGAGTGGAATTCTTTGCTAGAGTCTGTGTTTCCTGAAGGGTATAACCTGGGTTATGGTTAACTTATAACCTTTTTTTATGCAGTTGGTTAATGGGGATGATGACAGGGTATGAAAATTAAAAATATAATTAGTCCGTAAGTTAGGTAATGAAAAAATATTAGACACGTATTTTTTTATTTTGTCGTATAATAAAACAATACTTAGATAAAACGAATCAAAGTTTAGGAGTGGGGGCTAAAACGTCATTCCTTAGTATAAAATGTACTGAGAAGTGACGTCACGCGACATTTCAAATCAATATATCTTCGAAACTATTCGTTTCTGTGAGAAAATAAAAAATACGTGTCTAATGTTTTTAAATAATCTATCAGACGGACATTAAAATAAAAATTAGTCGTCTACCCCATTAACCAGTGGTATGCGAACGCAGATATACGCGATACACAATGTTTTTTCTATTCATAATCATCATCATAACATCACGCCTTTTATCCCCGAAGAGGTAGCCCGAGGTACACATTACGGCACTTAATGCCACTGTACAATGTAACACCCACTTTTCACTATTGATGTTATTAGTCCTATGTAATAGGGGGTGAGCCTATTGCCGTATACCGGGCACAGTTCAAGACTCGGTGCTACTACTGAGCTTTTTAAAAAACCTCGTCATTGGTTGCCCGACCCGGGAATCGAGATCCATTGCGCCGGGCAAGGGGTCCCTTTTTCTATTTTTCTTCTTTTTTTTTAAAACGTTGCCCCACTCTAGGATTATCTCCTGTGTCGTGGGTGCGTTTACAAACATACAAGTTTACATACACATGACACTCTCGATTCGCACTTGCGACCACTCGGCCAATGAGGCAGTCAGTGTTGTCTATTGTATTCAACTAGTTAATATACTAAAACCTTCTCTTAAGTGTAACAAACACTTGTCTGAAAAACCGCATTAAAATTGGTTCAGGTAATGCGAGATATCTAATAGCGCACAAACATATGTACATACATACATAATTACATACCATTCAATCTCAGAACTTTCTCATTTTATGAAATCGGTTAAAAATGCCTTAAATGCAGCAAAGGGGATAGGCGGAGATGCATATATTTATTTTAGAACTTACTTTTAACCATGTTTAGTAAATTGTCGTAAGTAGCTAGTTTACTATCGCACCTACCACCTCTATATTGAGTACAGTTTCGGTGTGGTTTACTTGACCTGGGTATCGAACTCTAGATTTCTTCTTCTTTCTTCAATAGTTATACTTGCTATTACTTATTGGCTAACGAGACATCGATTATATAAGTTTTTTTTAAGGGGCAAAATCTTCGAATGACTGCTCCCGCCTGGGTGAGGCGGGAGGGAGTGTCAGACTCTTACTGACTACATCCACCCCGTTCCTACGCCTGCACGTCGAGCCAGAGCCCCGGTAACCTGTTAGGTTCTCCGCGATATTATATAGGTATACGTTTACTATTTAAAAATAAATAAAACACTTACGGCTCATCCGGATGGCTCCCATGATCAACTTCAAAAGGCTCACAAATACTAATTTCTTCAATCTCTTCAATAATTTCTTCTATAATCTCCTCCTCAGTCTCACTCTCACTTCCACTCACTTCTCCTTCACTCTCACTCTCACTGCTCTCACATTTGTCTGTAACCTCACTTTTATCACCTATTTCTATAAACCCACTATCACTATTGTCACTGGAAATCCTTTTCAACGAGTCTGGACTCTCGATTTTTATAGTCACTTTTTCATTATCATTTTGACTACCATTTACATTGATAACAGTAGTGTTATCAGCGAAAATAATGTCGTCAGCGTCTTCTAGAAATTCCTCATCTTCAGAAGAGAGGGACTCGAAGGAGGAACCGACTTCTTCGTCAGTTTGTTGCTCACCATCATCGAAGACTATGTGTTTTCTGAATGTGACTCTTTTTTCCCACAGTCCGACCTGTCGTCGTCTGAACAGCCTTCCGTATCAGACCTAGGAGGCTTTAAGTTGGACTTCTTCGAAATTCCAGGCGATTCAACTTCAGTGTTAACAGCTTCTTTGTTCTCATTGTCCGCATCCAACAATTTGTCCAATTCATCTTTTAATTCATTTCTATAATTCAAATTTCGTTCGTCAATGCTCTCGTAAAGAGGTTCGCTCTTTATTTTGCTATCTGTCGCACCCATCTGTTTGGTCTCATTTAACTTGTCTACCGTACAGTCTATAGTGCGCGCGATCTCACGAAGTAATGCCTCGCATGTTTTTTTTCATCCAAATCAGGATCGTTCACGTACACAAGCGACACGTGTTCCTTATTATCGTTGCTCTTAGAATATTTCTGCAGTACCAAAGCTTTAACAAAGTCCGCATCGTCTGGTGTATTTTTGGCTTGTGTGGGAACGGGTACGTCACTCGCCTTCCGATCAGAATTACTCCTTTGCAATATGTTCGTCTCTTTCAAGGGGCTGATCCTACACGATTCAGTGCGCACATTTCTTCGCTTCCCCTTCTTTCTTTTCCCAGCCATAATCTGCAGGATAGCACCGACGCCAGACTTCTGGTTATTATAATCAGTCTCGGGTAACAATAGATTCACTACATCTTTACGTATTGTGTTGAATTTTTCGTTTGGCTCTTCGTTTCGTTGCGCGCGCGTCGTAACTGATGTTAATTTCGTATGGTCGGGGTTCGGGAGTTTTCGGGCGTCGTCGGGCGTAGCCGGCGCGGCCTCGGGTTTCCCGCCTTTCCTCTTAAAGAAATTAAACATGGCGGCGTTATGTTGTCATGTCCGCCTGGCCCGACGTTGTCCTAACGACTGGTGGCGATCGAACTGTAAATACATTCACAAACAAATGTATTTCGCGGTTGATTTAATGCAGTGTACGTGTTTTCATTTTTTCTATTGATAGGCGGAATATTATGTAAACACATGCATTATTGCGTTGTTTAACGTGTCTAATATTACAATAATACTCGCATTTTTGTGTCAAACTATTTAAATGGAATAATACATGTGTAACAGTACAAAGTTCAGGTACATTGCCGGGTAAATTATTTCGCTTAACTAAAGTACTAATTGTAAACACTCCGTCTGATTTATCGGCTCCTGGTATTTCTAGGGAACTGTTTATCTAAAATGTTAAAATAACTTTTTCTAGGTGATTATGCTAGATTCTAGTTAAACTGTAATTTATTGCTAACCCCCAAGAAATTCCATAGTATCATCACGCATTTGGAAAACAGGAACTCATGGCGATTAGTGAACCTCGCTACCATCAGTTGACTGGACATCTACACTACACGAGTCACTGTTTACATGTCAACATTAGCTCATGATGGTACCAGCGTACGTGTGTCACTGGACAGTGAACCTCGCTACCATCAGTCGACTGGACATCTACACTACACGAGTCACTGTTTACATATCAACATTAGCTCATGACGATACCAGTGTACGTGTGTCCCTGGACGGGGAACCTTGCTACCATCAGTTGACTGGACAATCTGTATATTATAAAACAGTTTACATGTCACCATTAGTCAATGACGACAGCGTAAATGACCTTGGTTTTCTCGTAAATTACCGACTGTATCACAAATAGATTTATTTTTATTTCAACGGAATATTTTCACGTAAAAAATGGCATTTCCTGAGTGAAATTACATGTCGGATATACTATCTGTAGAGTAAACAAATCGTTATACGTTCAATGATATTCTTAAGATCAATTTCTTTTAAAAAATACAACTTTCGTGGTACATTTAAATGTTTTCCTGGCCTTTACCCAACTAGGTTGGTGCCAGTGGTTTCTATAACATTTTAATTATAGTGATAGTTCGATGTTTGGCCACCATCTCGCCTGGTGGTAAGCGATGATGCGGTCTACGATGGAGCACGTCGTCCCATAAGCATAAAATTGACGTGTAAAAGTGCTGCCTTGTAGCCTAGTTGCAGAAATAAATTCACTTGTTTCACTTCACTTGTTTCACTTGTTTCACTTGATGGTTTATGGGCTTCTTGATTAAATCATTATACCATGATTTTATGTCATTAGACAAGCAAGATTAACAAGGTGACGTGACAAGGTCATGAACGTAGTTCCAATATAACAGTCATTGGCAGCTGTTCGTTTGCAAAATAATTAGCAATATTTTAGGTGAAACACAGTTTAAAATAGTACACTTTGTGACGTGACTGCGTGACGATTGTTAAAGACATTTTAAGTGTGGGAGAGCCATGCTTCGGCACGAATGGGCCGGCTCGACCGGAGTGATACCACGGCCGAGCAGAAAACCGACGTGAAGCAACGCTTGCGTTGTGTTTCGTCGTGTGAATGAGGTTACCGGAGGCCCAATTACCCTCCCCTTCCCCAATCTCCCCAATCCCTGAATCCCCAACGATCCTCAAACTCCTAATCCCCAAAAAGCCGGTAACGCACTTGTAACGCCTCTGGTGTTCCAGGTGTCCATGGGCGACGCCGATTGCTTACCATCACGTGATCTGTATGCTCGTTTACCGGTTTATGCCATAAAAAAAAGGCAGAGGTGTAATCTGGTAACTAGGAAGTTCTAGAACTGCAAAAGTGACTGTTTGATATGACAGGCAGGCCAGTTCGAAAGAATTCGAAGATTGACTAAGTTGGGTACTTTCTTTAGTCAAAAATAAATTAGTTCGACTGTTCAATACAATAAAACATTAAAAAATAGTCACACTTCCATCAATCGATTTTATGACCAATTTAATTTTAGTATTTTTCCAGCAATTTTTTTAGAAATAATTACGCTGTTTGACGCTAAAAAAACGTGACGTCACAATACACAATCTCGTACAAAATTCATAGAACACTCTCGTTTTTGACAGTTCGGAAAAAAAGTATTGAATTTGACTAGTTGGCAAGTACGCGATTAAGCAGTTCCCTACATCGTCAGCAACGCACTCGTGACACCTCTAGTGTTGCTATTGCAGGTGTCTGCTTATATCTTGAAGAAATCAATGTGATATATTTGCGAATTACACAACTTTATTCTCCTTAGTCCGTTTTACCATCGTACTACCAGACGAACAACAGAGCGCCACCCTTATATGGTAGACATTCCACCCATTCGCACGAAGCGTTTCGCGTCAAGCTTCCTTGTGCGAACCGCCACCCAGAATCTGTGTTTTCCGACAAAGTGTCTTCAATTCCCGAGTGAACAGGTTGCTCATAGGTAGGCGTGCTCCATCGTAGACCGCATCATGGAGACCACCAGACGAGATAGTGGTCAAACGTCGGCCCATCAAATATAAAAAAATAGATGGAGATTTTAAACTCCTGAACCTTTTAGACTACGATGTCTAAACTATACGCGGGGATTATGGCAAACACTCTTATGTAGAGGAGACTCATAGTCCAGCAGTGTACTGTAGGCGATGAACCATATCGTCGTACAGCGGTTAGCTATATCCATAAGATGAGAAGGTCAGTGTCTCATCTAAAAATAAATTTAAATGAGAATCGAGCTGTTTGCGCGAGTGTTTTAGTGATGTGACGCGTTGCTCGATAGACTGGATATCGATATGTCGATGAATTTGTTGTTTAAGAATAATTTGTTATAATAATAATATTTATTAAATAATACCTTGACGCCTAAATTAAGGGTGTAATTTTTGTTGTATTCCTTTTTTTACTTTCGTTTTATTTAATAGTTTAGTTGTAGTTAATTATAAGTTGTAAATATTTATGTAGTTATATATATTTAATTATATTTCTTATAAAGAATATATTGTTGAATATTCATGTTGATAAACTGCATTTTGTTTTTTTTAATCAATAAGCAAGGGTGTTGTTATAAGGTTAAGGTTTTTAAACATACATATATAATATCACGCCTTTTATCCCCGAAGGGGTAGGCAGAGGTGCACATTATGCCACTGTACAATGTAACACCCACTTTTCAATATTTATGTTATGAGTCCTATGTATAGGTGAGCCTATTGCCATATACCGGGCACAATTTTTTAAATAGACAAATTAATTCGAAGTTACTGATAGAAAGTGACATTTGTTATGGTATAGGTCGGCAAACAAGTCGGGTCACCTGATGGTAAGCAGTCAGCTGCGCCCATAGACACCCGGAACACTAGAGGCGTTGCAAGTCCGCTACGGTCCTTTTGGAAATTACAGATGACGATAATAGATGTTAGAAAAATATGGCCAATAATAAAAGACTCGTGGGTTTATTGAAATTTCAGAAATGTAACCTTTGCGTGACCCAGTAATCGACTGAAGATGGATTCTGAGATGTCATTATAAAATTAGAATGATTGAAAAACCACGCGTCATTTATGCCAGCTCGCAATAGGGTAGATGCCTAATTTTTATTTTAATGCCCGTCTGGTATATTATTTTAAATCATTAGACACGTATTTTTTATTTTCTTACAGAAACGAATACTTTCGACGATATATTGATTTGAAATGTCGTGTGACGTCACTTCTATGTACATTTTATGCGTAGAAATGACGTTTTAGCCCCCACTCCTAAACTTTGATTCGTTTTATCTAGAGGTAAGTATTGTTTTATTATACGACAAAATAAAAAAATACGTGTCTAATATTTTATCATTACTGACGGACTAATTAGATTTTTAATTTTTAAACCCTGTCATCATCCCAATTGTATTGTTTGGTGTCATCATCAGTAATTTAAAAAGTAGATGCAAATTTTTTAAAGGGTATGGTGCGTTCTATATTAGTGATCGTCATGTTTTTGAACTTGGGCCAAAGATATATCTTTTGGGATACAGAAAGTGTGTATACATTTTTTGTAATCGTAACTTATGATATTAATATTTGACTGCACAGTTGGCGCGCTAGCTGAATGACTAGCAGCCCTGCAACGTGTTTTGGGTTCGATTATCCAATTTTTATATGATTCATATTTCGTAATTTCGGGTATAACTATAGATGTTATGTGTATGTGAACTTGTATGTTTGTAAACGTACCCACGGCACAAGAGACAATCCTAGTGTCGGGCAACGATTGTTTAAATAAATATTTAAAAAATTTGTTATGTATGTACCTAAAAAACTAAATTAAACAAAGAATACATGTCAACGACCCACGATAGTTCGCTTTGAGCTGGCAAATGCCTCTGTGTAGCTTCAAGGAAAAGATTTCCAGTAATTTAACAGTCTAGGTACACTAGATACGAAACTAACAAAGTAGATGAAAACCAGTAATAAACATCCATTTCTTAGTATAAATTATTTCGTGTTTAAGTAAAAACATATGCCAAAGAGAAAGGTCATTGTCTTGATGAAATATATTCTCAAAATACACACATGTTTGGGCAAACCTATTTATATTATAGAGATAAAGTAAACTTTAGTGATGTGGGGCGTATTTTGAACGGAGTTATCGATGAATTTGTTACTGGTAGGTTGATGTCGATATTTTTGACTTCTGCTTTGTTTATTAGAAACTTTTATTTAATTTGCAATGTGTGAATGTGTGTGTCTTGCAACTGAATTTTGAAACAGATATCTTCAACTGATTGAGCTGAAATTTTGTGTACACATTTAGTTTGCATGTCTAAGTGTGGGAGAGCCATGCTTTGACACGAAAGGGTGGTCTAACAGAAAACCCATGTGAAATTAGTCTTCCGTAGTGTTTCGTCGTGTAAGTGAGGCCTAAATATCCCCTCGCACTTCCCAATCCTTGAATTCCCAACAATCTCCAAAAGGCCGGTAACGCATTTGTAATACCCTGGTGTTTCAGGTGTCCATGGGCGACGCTGATTGCTTACCATCAGGTGATCCGTCTGCTCGTTTACCGGCTTATCCCATAA